TTCGACGCGCGGTTGCCGCACGGTGTGGAAAGGGCCGAGGGAGGGCGAGACCCCAGATCGGCCGAGCTGAGCCGAGCTGAGCCGAGAGGTAGGCGTGTCGAGGGTCGAGGGGGAGCGGGACCCGAGGGGGGGCCGGCTGGTTCTGCACGGCTGGTTCACGGAGCCGGCCCCGTTCTCCGAGGGATCTCGCGTTGAGGAGGAGGAGCCAGGGAGACTGGCTGGACTGGCCACTGAGGAGTCGACGAGGCACGTTTAGGCGCTCTCACAGAGGAAGAGGTGGGGGAGGGGCTCGCCGCACCGCTAGAGGCGCCCGGCACGGAGATCCGCCGAGATCCGCCGAGATCCGCCGAGGTCCGCCCGCCCTCGCGTTGAGACTGCTCCTCTCCCTCACGAGACTAGGCCCTCTACGCCGAGATCTCCCCGCCCGCCGTCACGGGGCTGCTCGCTGTGCGGCTCGAGGTTGGCGCCGACGGCGCGTCCCCCCCCCCCCCCCCCCGCCCCTCGCCGACGGGAGCTAAGATCTTCACGGCGGCGCGCGGGTGTGAACAGGCACCGTCGCCGCCCTCCGCCACCTCGCGGACACGCTCGTCGTCGACCCGAGCCAGCTGCAGCGCGGGGCGGAGGCGGACGACGCGCGGCCGGCCGTGCTCAACGCGGTGGAGACGCACCTCGGCGGCGCGCGCTTCGCACCGAGCGGCGGCAACAGCAGCGTGACCGTACCCTTCCTGTTCGACTGACCGAGTGGGCGTGTTGTCCGCGCGCTGCGCACCGGCTCTTTTTCGAATCCAAATCGCGGAGAGACCTGGGGAGGTACTCGCACGCTTTTCTGTTTTTTTTCTGGCCGAGTCAACGCGCGATATGCCGAGGCGAGCCTCGGCGAGACTGCGTCAGCTGTTCCCACAGCAGGCTGGAAAGTACCTCGCCAGGGAGAGACTTATCTTGTTGAATTCTTTCCAAGCACCGAGCGCCGGAGCTGAATTGCTTCATGCATCTTGGGATGCTAAGGCAATTGAAATTAGAATGGAGATCGTATCGGGCAATTTCAGATGCCTCATCATCTCAAATTGCGGGTTCCCCGCCCCTGACGGCCCTCTCCGCACTCCGGGACGCGACGGTGTGGACTGGGGTGACGTGTGGAGAACTGGAGATGCGAGAGAGAGAAATTTTACCAAGATCCCTCACGCGCATGTCCCTAAATCCCATCTCGACTCAGAGTTTGACTGTCTCATTGATTCGTGAGAAACGACAAACACTACAAGCAAGGCCTACGCCTGTGCCACGCCGTCTCGAGGCAGCGATGTCCGCTGTAGGGGCCGCCGCACACCGGATTGTTCTCGCCGTAAAAGAGGTGGTACTCGCTGCTGAGTGCGGCAAGCAGTTTTGCCAGCTTCGGGGCGTCTCGCTTCAAAAAGTGCAGCTCGAGGAGCACCTGCTCGGTGCAGACGCTCGAGAGCCACGGCATCAGCGCTTTGAACTCGCATCCTTCGCAATCAATTTTCAGGACCGAAAGAGAGGGCTTGCTGGCATCGGCGGAGGACCGCGTGGTATGCTGCCGCTGGAGCCACACGCCCGACGACGAATAATCGAAGTTGCGATCCACAAAGCGCAGCCACGAGGGCAGCTGGTGACGAAGGTGCTCGCGAGCGCCCCCTAAGGTGCCGTCCCACGTCTCGAAGAGGCAGCCGGGGTACCGCCGCCGCATGTCGATCTCAAAGGCGGCGTCGCCGTTGCTTCCGACGCTCAAAACGCGGCAGGGTGTCGCCTCCGTCGTCGACTTGAGTGTCGTGTCACCCCGCTCCAAGCAGAGCATCTTGTATTGCTCGCCACCGCGCCCGACTCTCACCTGTTGGCTGCACGCCGACGGCATCTCCACGTATCGGCCAGTAGTAGTCTGACACTTCCATCCACGCCTCAGATCCTTGGGTCGTGGGGTACCGCATTGGCCAGCAGGCCTCGCTTCTCGCGGTTTCGCCGGCTGCACCCTGTGCTCGCGCAACAGTGTCGAGACGAGCGATGCGTCGAGGCCGGCGTGTCGCGTCGCCGATCGTCGGGCCGCCGACTCCAATTCGGATCCTCCCATGCCGTTGTCACCCTGCGTTTCACAGATTGATGTTGTGCGCAGCACGCTGATTGCCCGGAGTTCTGCTAGCGCATCGGTTCGATTCTCAAAAAAACGGTGAACCGCATCGACGGCGGCAAGCGTGGAGCCACAGCGCAGTGATGTGCGCCGACCGCTCGACGCGTTGTGAGTTGCAGTGGTGATGGAAAATGCGACGTGCATTTGTGGGTGTTGCTTTTGCGCGCTCTCCTCCAACCAGTCGTTTCCTCTCTAGTTTCCCGGGAAACTGCTTGCTGAACCGGAGCGTGTGAGCAGCGCAGCTTTCCTGCTCGCGAGCAGCGCTTGGCATGTGAGAGCTGAGGACGCGTCGGCGCAGGACTTCTTCGCGGACGTCAGTAAAGAACTTTGCGATCTGACAGAAGAAGAAATGGGCGGTTTATGGAAGAGGAATTACAGCGACAAATCTACATGGCTGCGTATGAGACGTATGCTCTGGACAGAGTACGAGACCAGGTATGAGGGTCTCACACGGGATCTGATTGAGGTGAGGTTACCTTTCGTACCACCTCGCAATCGTAGCATCTCTGTGCGATTGCTAGCACCCACGCTCGCAATCCTACATCTTCTAGGACTAAGAGCAGCTCCGCTCCCAAGGTGACTGGTGACGCCTACGACTACTACAGTTGTACCAGCGCGCTCGCAATCCGAGCAAAGTCTAGGATTGCGAGCAGCACTGCTTGCTCGCAATCCTAGCAACATGCCTCCGATTGCGAGCAGTAGCGCTCGCAATCCTACATCTTGTAGGACTATGAGCGGCGGCGCTCACAATCGTACCCAAGATCCGAGGATTGCTAGGAGCGCCCTCAAGGGCGAGCACTTCATTCAGCATGATTGCCAAAGTGTGCCCCAAATGCTGAGAGAGGCAGCCGAGGCACGATGAATGGCGCGCGATGCAAGTTCTGTCTCAGCGCGTTCAAGCTGATGGTGGATGCTGGTGGCCAGCCAAGTGCAAGGACGATCAGCGACCTGGCCAACGGCGTGCGCATGTGGCAGGCCTTCCTGCAGAAGCCGCCCAGCACGAACTGCTACGGGACGCGCTGGGACCGCAGCGACACCCAGGCGACGGTACAGGCGCTGTGGGTGATGCAGCACTACCCGGCTGCGCCGCCATCGGCAATGCCGCCGGGCACCTCGGCAGCAGCTGGCTCATCGAGTGGCTCTTCCTCGGCGTCCAGCGGCCGGCGCTGCGTCGGCGCTGCGGGCAGAGCCAACGGATGCGGCTGCAGCGCCGACTGCGCGAGCGCGTCAACCTGCGGCGCGGCCAAGCGCGCACGCGGGCCTCCCGTTCGCAGCGGGAGGGCATGCGGCGCCCTCGCAGCGGTGGAGATGCGGCTCGACGAGCTCGCGCAAGACGTGCTCTGCCTGCAAGCACGCGTGCGCACCAACGCGCAGCAGTTTGCGCGCGACATGCCCGCCCGGCAGCGCGCGGCATCGCCGAGCGCGTCCGCGCACTCGAGGAGATGCACCTCGAGCAGTAGCTGCAGGCGTGTACGGGGGGCTTTGCCCATTCGCATTCCTCGACGCCAAGACCATCGACCCTTGTCTCCGCTCGCTTAGTTTCTTCTTTTGTCGTTTGGTTGTTTCTTTTTATCTTATTTTCTCTCCCACTCGAGTTCTCTTGCTGCCGGCTCCGACACTCCGTCTCTCTATCCTTCCCAGAAGAAAAAGTATCGGCAAAAAGAAAAAAACCCCGCTCACCGCCCGCTCCGCACACCCGCTGCAGCGCGCTCTGCTCGACTGCGTCGTGGCCTGTCGCGCTCCTCCGCCGCATCGCAAGCGCACGCCATCGCCGCCGCTTGAAGCAGGACACCACACACTTTTGCGGCAGCGCAACGCGTCGCGCCAGTATGCGGCTCCTCCTCGCGTTGCTGTTGAAAAGCGGGTCAACGGCCGCTGACGACGCTGTGGCAGCAGTCACAGGCCGCACCACCGGCACCGGCACCGGTGGTCATGCACAGGCGCACAAGCGCTCTCCATCTTCTGTGCTTGGGACACTGGCCGACGCCAGGTCCTTCTTTAGCCATGCGCCTTACGATGCGCACGACTCCCAGCCGGCCGAGGGAATGCGCGCCGTCACGAGGCAGATGCTCCACGCCGTCCACGCGGTGAGAGGCGGGCAAGCGGGCGCTCGACTGCTAAGGCTGTTTGAGCGCCTCGGTGATGAGCGCAACTGCTGCGTGCGTGTGCTTGTCATTGGTGGGAGCAATGCATGTGGCGCTGGAAACGTCGGCGGAGTCTTTGGACGACGGCACTCGAACCTTGGGAAACCCGCCGGTATCAATGGCACTTGGAGCGCGGCGCTGATCCGCTATCTCAATGCGCGGAGCCAGCGCTGCTGCGCGACGGGTCACACGCTGGACAACCAGTGCATTAATGGGATGGGCACCTCGGGCTTCAACGCGCAGTTTGCCGGGCTGCTCGGTGCCAAGCACAAGGCGTCTCCTCCGAACCTGGTAGTCGTCGACACAGGCGCCTGTGAGAGATGCTGCTCATGGAGGGAAGTGGGTGAACGGTTGTCTATTCCCGTATTCTCAGGCGCCAACGATTTCAACAGCTTCGTCGAGGACGAGCTCAAGGGCCGCCCAACGAAGGCCGAGCTTCAGCACGGACACGTCCTCGACCGGCGGTCGCAGGCCCGACTTCGAGAAATCGAAGTCGAGACGGAGGCGCTGGCGCGGCGCATCCTACAGCTCCGCCCCACCACGGCGCACCTGTGAGTGGAAGATGCTGCTCACGCCTCTGTCTCTTCATATGTCTAGCTTTGACCAGGCGCTGCTGTACGTGGAGGACGCGTGGTTCAACAAGCTCACGTCGTCGCAGGTTTTTACCAATTGCGCCGCTCGATCACAGAGACATTACTGATACGGACGAAACACCGCAGGTGCTCGGTGCGTGGAACGAGCATCGGCCCGTGCTCGAGCGCCTCGGCGTCCCAGCTTGCCACTCGACGCTGCCGCTCGCGGCGCTCGACGAGAGGAACCGAAGCCACCCACTCGCGAGGCCGCAGGTGCTCGTCGACGTGGTGCACCTCTCGCGGTGGGGCCACCTGCTCACCGCCTTCTTCTGCGTTGCCGTGCTGCACGCGGAGGGAGAGGCGCTCTGGCGACACAGTGCCGCGCAGAGAGAGGCGCGCTGGCGGGCCAGCCTCGCGCTGCCTCCGCTCGACCCGTCCATTGAGGGGCTGGTAGCCCAAAGATGGCATACTTGTAGCAGTGCACGCACCCCTCGTGGCTAGGCTCCCGTGAGCGTGACACTGTGCACGCCATATTAACCGCGCGTTCGTCGCCATATAGGCTGGTGCTCGAGCGCATGACGACTCCCCTCGCGCTGATCGACTTTACAAACTCGCGAGGCGCGGGCATGGAGGCCGTCGTGCACGCCGAGGGGTGGGAGTGGCTGGCCCAGCACAAGCGCGGGGATGGGGCGTACATCTTCGACAAGGTGAAGCGAGGCGCGTCAATATACAGCACGGGCGCGCACAAGTTTGCAGCTCCAGCGGTGAGCGGGGTCTGTCAGGATTAGCCGCGATTAGCCGCGAATAGGCGGGCACAAGCTCGGGTACGTCGCGCGCAGGGGCGGCGCCAACTTCGTCGCCAACGTGACGGTGGAGACGGGCTCGCTCACCGTTGGGTACTTGCGCAGCTACAGCGGCGCCGCCTCGGTGAAGGTCGAGGTGGTGCGACGTGTGGGCGACGGCACATACCTCCCCCTTCCCGCCTCTCACCAGGCCTCAGAGGGTAGTGATTCGGGCGCCACCTTCCACCGCAAGTGGGCACACAACGTGTCTGTCCACAGCTCGAGCGTGCTGCGGTTGCGCCTACCCGCTTCGGGGGTGACTTCGGGGGCACCGGCCGCGGTGCTCATCCGATTCACGCTCATCGAGGGGAATGATGTGCCCTTCACGCTGTATTCGGTTCAGTCGTGTTGACTGTTGAGATGTAATTCGCGTTCAAGATCAACGCTTTCGTAGAGATCAGTAGTACAGCTACAGGGGTCAGGCTCAGGGCGCGTAGCGCGGAAAATGCCATGTAGGAAATGCCACAAGGGGGGGGGGGGGGGGGGCACTTTATCTTTAATGCCGCGGGGGCTCTGCGCGCGCCCCCCCTCACACAAGGCTCACTGGGGCTCATCACGAGAGCACCACATGTGCCTGCAATGTGCAAAGAGACTCTCCGTCGCACAATACCCTTATTGTGAATTATTCAATACGCTCTCTCATCCGTTCTCGAGAGAAGAGGCCCCACCCACCACCCAGAAGAGCCGCCCTTGGGCCCATCAAAAGGGCTCTGGAAAAAAGGGACTGCAATAGAAGACGCCCAACCAATCTTGCTGCGCAAGAACCATACGTCCTCTAAAATTCGCAAGTATGGAAGCGATGCAATGAGAATGTCTTCAGTAGTGGACGCCCCACACCTTCCCTTGCTCCAGCACCGGCGCCTCCGCCGCTCCCTTCGGCGCCATCGCCTTGTCGGGCCCTCTGCGCGCCACCGCCGCCTCCTCGACGACGAGCCGCGCGCGCGTCCGCCGGCCGAGCCACGCGCGATGCAGCAGCAGCAGCAGCAGGCCGCCCAGAAACGACGCGAGCAGCGCGTAGCCCGCGCCGCCGCGCACGACGTTGAGCGGGTTGCCGCTGATCGGAGGGGCGTCGAAGCGGTCCGCCACGGTCACGCGCGCGAAGCAGGCCGCGAGGACGGAGAGGTGGCAGCCGACGAGGCCTACGGGGAGGACGCCGAGACGGCTCGCGGGAGGCGCCGGGCAGGGCGGAGAGACGGCAGCCGACGAGGCCCGCAGCGGCGGCGGTCACGGCGAGCACGCGTGCAGCAGCCGGGTAAGAGGCGTCGCGCCAGTCGGAGGCGTTGCGCCAAGCGGTCGCGTAGAGCGCGCGTGCCTGGCGAGAGCGGCAGCAGATGTGATCTCCTTCCGGTGCGAGGGGAGGGACTCCTAGGGCGCGGTCGCTCTCCCAGCAGCCCGGACCCAGCCCGGACCCCGTGATACGGCCGGTGACAGTGTGCCTCGTGTCGGCTCCCAAGCCAATCGTGTGCAGCGTGTGTGTGTGTGTGGGCCCGTCCTCCGTGCTAGGAGGTGTGTCACACTGACAGACAGACTGACTGACAGGTCGCGTAGAGCGCGCGCGCCTCGTCCAGCGCGGCGACCTCCTCGTCGATGGGCAGCGCGGCGATCTCCGCCTGACCTCGGACCATCGCGCGTCACATCGGGCGACCTGAACCTGCACACGTCCTCGATGGGACAGCGCGGCGTATCTCCGCCTCGGCGCGCTCGGCTAGCCTCGGCTAGCCTCTCCTTGCCTCGGCTACTCTTGGATACTCTGCGCCTCGTAGGCGGTTGCTGCGTGTTCGATGACGGCGACGAACCCGACCGACGCGCCCATCTGGGTCGCGAGCATCGCCATCGTCATCGCCTAGTCATTAGTTATGGTGATGTCAGTCATCAGCACGTCAGGTTGCGATCACACGCCATCGTCCATCGCCGAAGCGGCCAGGTCCCAGCCAGGCCGGTTGGCCTACGGGACATGTCGCCGACGCGTCCTGGACATGTCGCGGACATGTCCCGGTAACGAGAGGCTGGTTGGCCATGATGAGCGCGCTGCCCATGGCGGTGGAGGGGAGGATGAGAAGGACGACCGGGATGGAGCCGAAGAGCATCTTGGGGCAGGAGAGGCCGAGGATGCCTGCTCACGGCCACGGCTGTGAAGAGACGGCTGTGAAGAGACGCGGCTCGCGTCTTGGGGCGGGAGAGGCCGGAGACGGGCAGGCAGAGAGAGGGAGCGAGACGGGCGCGTGTGGTGAGGTATTTGATCAATTGGCCGCGAGTGGCCGGGATCGGCCGGATACCGCCGAGAGTGGCCGAGATAGGACCGAGATTGTCGGAGGTGCCTGTCAGGACGGAGGTCGGCCAGTCCGGTCCTCCACAGAGCACGACTGTCTTGCCAAAGGTGCAGCCGCGCTGCGTGAGCACGAACCGCGCCTGGCAGCGTGGGGGAATCAGAAGAGTCATGAATCATAGAGAGGATGCCAACAATGATATGAGACGGACGGGACGCGCCCGCACGGAGAGGGCCGAGCTTGTCATGCGCGGCTGTGTCTCGGCTGTATCTCGGCGATGCCTCGGCGATGCCTCGGCGATGCCTCGGCGATGTCTCGGCTATGCCTCGCCGCGCGGATGAAGGACGAGTTTGTCTGGCATGCGGCGCGGATCTCGATGCGAGACCCCATCCACCGGCCGATGACCTGCCAAGAGATAGCCGAGAGATAGCCGAGAGATAGCCAAGAGATGGCCGAGAGATAGCCGAGAGATAGCCAAGAGATAGCCGAGAGATAGCCGAGAGATAGCCAAGAGATAGCCGAGAGATAGCCGAGAGATAGCCGAGAGACAGCCGAGAGACAGCCGAGAGATAGCCGAGAGACAGCCGAGAGATAGCCGAGAGACAGCCGAGAGACAGCCGAGAGATAGCCGAGAGACAGCCGAGAGACAGCCGAGAGACAGCCGAGAGATAGCCGAGGTCCCGTCCACCGGCCGATGGCCTGCTGCTGCAGCACGATGGCGCAAAACTTGAGCAGGCAAGCGACCTGGTTGGGGCGGCGAGGGAGAGGTCGGCAAGGGAGGAGGAGGAGGCGGGGGAAGGGGGATCCGGCAAAGGAGGTGCAGGCGGCGAGGGGGGGGGGAGGCGGCGAGGGCGGAGGCGACCTAGTTTGGGGGAGCCAGAACAACGCGAGTGAGGATGGCGGTCCGCGTGATGGCACTGTCTTGAGCGGGGGCGTGCGACCGACACGGCGAGGGCGACGCCGAGCCAGTACGAGGGCGGCGCGTGCGGGGTGGGGTCTGCAAGCTCCTCCTCGCTCATCACCGCGCCAGTGAGCAGCACGCCGGAGCACACATAGACGGGGATGCCGGGGATGACCGGGACGAGGAACAGGACGATGCCCTGCGGCAGAGAGAGGAGCCCTTCCAGGGAGTGTCTCGGGAGTGTCTCGGGAGTGTCTCGGGAGTGTCTAGGAAGGGTCTAGGAAGTGCCTCGCCTGCAGCAGGAAGAGGAGGACCACGAGGCCGAGGGGGAGCCCGGCGAGCACCGCGCTCAGCCAGCAGAGAAACACGACCACAAACTTGGCGACCACGACCGACATGCAGAGGTAGCCCTGGCAGAGGAGGGCGACCTTGCTGCAGACGGAGCCCCAGTGCACTGACAGCTTCGTCAACCGCTCATGCGTCTCTGCGGTGACGATGCCGCCGCGGGACGCCTTGCTCGAGCCGCGCAGCCACCGAGTCGCCTGCTTGCCAGCGAGCAGCAGCGCGTACGCAAGCAGCGGCAGCACTCCGACACAGATGACGAGGGCGACGCACCACTCGTACCTGTTCACAGCCGGAGGTGTGGAGAGCAAGCGAAGGACTGGCGAGAGCGACGCGCCACTCGTACCCGCTCTCGATGTACCGCAGACCGCGCTGCACCCACGCCGCCTCCGCCATCGCTCTTGCGAACGTCTCCCAGCCCAGCGTGCCTCCGACGAGGAGGAGCGCGGCGGCGACCAGGTTGAGCATCGCCACCGAGACGATGTGCGAGAGGCCCATCCCCGCGCCTGTGAGGAGAAGCCACAGCCATAAGATGGAGCTGGTGTAGTACTCAAGCGCACTCCGTCTCCCCCGCGCCGGCGATGGAGGCGGCGACGTACATGCCGAGCCCGGCGACGGAGATGGCGCCTGCACAGCCACACCAATCACAGTCCGAACGAGCTGTACCAGTGAGCACATGCCGAGCCCGGCGACGGAGATGGCGCCGACAAACAGCTTGACGGCGGCGGCGTCGGCCTCTGCGTTGGTCTCGGAGGCGAGCACGCGCGCGAGGAAGCGGCACACCTGGTCATGCGCACAGGAGGAGTCTCATCCGTGTGCGTGTGCTGTTGTGGGTCTCGACTCGTGTGCGTGTTGTGGGTCTCGCGGCACACCACGGCAAAGACGACGAGCGAGATCCCGACCAGCAGCGGGAAGAAGAACCAGCAGAAGGCGGCGTCGTAGCAGTCGATGTCGTTGTACGAGGCGGTCGCGTTGAACGGCTCGCAGCCCAGCCTGCTCAATGATCACTTACTCATTCATCCGTTGTTCATGAGGCGGTAAGGTAAGGGCTCGCCAACCCGGCCTGCATATTCAAGAGCAAGAGGAACTGACCACAAACACGATGATGATTAGAGTCATGTTCATAAGGCCCTCGTCCCCGCCTGCCCTCCCAGTACGCCTTGACCGGCCCACCCCACAAGTTGAGCCACTCCTCGTCCCACCTACGACAAAAAGAAACCCTTCCCAAAAAAAGAAGACGGCGAAGGCGCAAACCAGTCCTCGTCCCACCTACAACAAAAAGAACCCCCTCGGCAAAAAAAGAAGACGCGAAGGCGCAAGCCAGTCCTCGTCCCACCCGGTGCGCAGCCGCGACGCCGGTGGGGGAAGCACCGCCACCCACAGCGCAAAGTAGGTCAGGCTCAGCGCGGCGGCGACGGCGACACTCCTGCAGACGCATCTCTAGATCTTCGTATGTGCAGGGTTCTTTGTGGGTGTGGTCGGCGACTAGCCGGGGTAGCGACGGGGATGGTGACGGTGACGGTGGCGAGGGAGAGGAAGGGGGTCCATTAACACCAGACAGCGAGAGGGGCAGGGAGGAAAGGGGGAGAGAGCAGCAACTCATCTGCATCGGGCGTCTCAGGTCCGAGCGGCGGCGGCGACGCGCCTGCTCAGGCCGCGCATGTACGCTGGAGCGGGCGGGCGGGTGACGAGGCCGCGCCGGACGGCAAAGGCGGAGGCGGGGATCGCGTAAAAGCCTGAGGGCCAGAGACTCAACGACCGTGACTGGAGTCAGCCGGCCCTGCTGCAGTAGACGCCGTGGCGTGGAGACGCCGAGCTGCAGCGGTGCGAATGGGTAGACGCGCGTCGCCAGCGAGCAGGCGACGGCGGCGAGCAGCACCGCCAGCGCGATGCACAGCCGCCGGACCACCACCATATACGATTTCGTCCATCGATGAGCGTCTAGCATCCAGAGGAGGAGGCAGAGGAGCAGGCAGGCGTCGGCTGCAGCGTACCATGGGTATTTGAGGTCTTCGAGGAAGAGGTAGGTCACATCGCCGAAGCCGGCCACTGAGAAGGCGAGGTTGAGCACGAGCGTCGGCGCCATGACCGAGAGGAAGGTGAGGAGGCCGTCGCTGATGGAGTACGAGTAGTCCGGCGCCCGCTCTTCAGCGCGGCCGCCGCTGCTCGTGTCCATGTCAAAGTCGAAGCGAGTGAAGCGCCGCGTGGTGACGACAGTGGAGGTGGACGAGCTCTTCGCCGCCTGGGACGGCGGCGAGATCTCTCGGCCGGTGCGAGAAAGAATTTTACAACGCTCGCACAACACTGGGCACGGGATTGCCTGCACGCGACCCGCACTCACGGACTCCATACCCGAAAGAAAGAGAAGGGAGCTCGCGGGAGAGGTGACGAGTGAACTACAGGTAGTGGGGAAGGCAGCCTCGATGGCCATACAGACATGGGTGCGAAACAACGACAAGACCAAGGCACGGGCAGAGGAACGAGAGAAGAATATAGGGTGGATAAAGCGCCTGTTCACGGCATGGAGGGTGAGCCACACCGAACGTACCGAGCGAAGAGCCGAGCGGAAGGAGGACGGGGAAGATGACTCCGAGGAGGACGAACCAGTGGAAATCCAGTTGTCAGATGTCACGATGCATCCGAAGGGGACCCCAGCGCCGGCATCATCCGTAGAGGCACGAGTGTTCGAAGAGAGAGTGGACCTGAGCAACAACATGACCTGGAGGCAAATGATCGGAGTGGGAGTCAGAAATGTGGTCCTTGCGCGAGGGGAGCTGATACGCCGCGAGGAGGACGGAGTTGCGCCGAAAGGCAAAAGAAACCGCGAGAACAAGGGACCGGCAGGCGGCGGCGTCACAGGACGAGGCAGAAGAGAACGACGCGACAGAGGAGGAAATGACAAGGGAGAGAACGACGAGAGTGGGACGACCGCGAGGTGGCATGAAGGTTGCAGCGAGAAGCAGCGAGAGACTGCGAAGAGAGATAGGAAGAGGCAGACTCCCTAGGGTGGGCGACGGCTAGCGCACCACACACCTCTCCTTAAAATCCCTGTGTGGTGGCGGCGTGCCGTCCTCCCATCCCTCCCTTGTTGTCTGTTTTCTTTCTTTTCTTTGGGCACGGGACTGGCGCGCACTGGCACTAACACAGGTACACCACTGGAGCCGCCTAAGCGACTCCCGCGAGGACGGCGAGGCACTTAGCTCCGTGCACTCGACCGCCCTCGCCGCTGGCAAGCTCATTCACAATCTGCTCTGCGATGGCCGTGTGAAGAACGACTGAGATGCGCTGCTTCTGCAGCCCCAGCCAGCTCTTGGTGGTCCAAGTCACCTCATCGAGGTACTGGGCCCGCGTCAGCTTGTTCTGCAGCACGTTCGCCGCCCCCCAGAGGATCTCGCCGACCCCCTTCCCAAACCCACCGAACGCTTCGAACAGCAGCACAGCTGCACTTCGAGAGAGAGATTTTTAGCAATACCTTAATGTGATGTTACAGGTGGGTTACAATACCAAACAACTCTAACACTCACACGTAATTTGGGGCCTGGGTTTTGCACTTCGACGCCCTTGTCTTCCCTGGCGTAGCGATACTCGCCGCCATAGGACGGCATGCGGCGATCGCCGCCCACTACCCTGCCCCCCCTAGTATGCCATCGACCAGTCCCCTGCCCCCTCTCGCCCTTGCTCTTCTTCTCTCCCTCCATTCCCTCGCCCCCACCCCCCCATACCCCTCACACTCCCCTCCATCCCCCTCCCCCTCCCGCCCTCGCCTCCCTCTCCCTCCGCGCGGTAGGAAGAATTCTGGGATGCGACTGCATCTCACAGCAGACTGGCGAGAAGAATTTAACGAGCCGCAGCACATGCACATGCACAGTGCGTGCACAAGTGGCCTTTTTAACAGCGTTCAAAAATGGTTACTCTCGAACCCCCACCCCCCCCCCACCCAGCGTGACGCGTCACCCTAGACTACCACGTACTCCAAAAGCACACCCCGGTGCGGAGGGGCAGCTTAGGCAGCAAAGCCGAGCAGGTCAACGCGGAGGGGCAGTCTAGGCAGCAAAGCCGTAGCAGGTCAACGTGTAGGGCTTCATCCCAAAGGACGCGATCAGTTCGCCCATCTCCGCGGCCTCCTCCGCCGTGGAGACCAGCTTCGCGTCGTCGGACTTGATGCTCCCGGTGACCATCGCCATGTCGAGGCCGCCGACGAACTGCGTGTACATCTCGGGCTCTTCGAAGATTTCGATCACGAGGGCGGTCGTGCCGTCCGCGTCCCACGCGGCGCTCCAGCTGCGAGGCGGGAGGCGAGAGAGGCGCGTGAGGGAGTCCGAGGGGCGAGACGCGCCGGGCAGGACGTGGGGCGAGAGGCGTGCGGAGCGGCGGGCTCACTTGGTGAAGCCGGCGGCCTTTGCCTTGGACGCGACGTGCTCGTGTGCCGCGTCGACGTCCGCCTTCGTCTTGCCGTCCGCGATGGATTGGAGGGCGCACACGATCATCTTTGGGGCCTCGTCCCAGTCGGACGGGACGCTGACCGCCGTTGCCACGGTGAAGGTCTCCATCGCAAAGTTCTTGACCAGGTCGCTCATCTCCGCGGCCTGCTCCTCGGTGCAGAGCAGCTTTGGCGCCTCGAACTTGATGCTGGCAGAGACCGTCTCGAAGTCGAGCTCGTCCATGAAGGCAAAGTACATGTCGGGCGAGTCGAAGACCTCGGTCACGACGGCGGTGGTGCCGTCCGCGTCCCACGCCGCGCTCCTGGGAGGAAGGGTGGGGGGGCGGGCTGGGCAAGGGGCAAGCGAGGCACGCGAGGGGTGGCGCAGTGGCGCGAGGGCGGCGGCGGCGAGGGCGGCGGCGGAGAGGCGGCGGCGGCGCCAGCTGGTGAAGCCGGCGGCCGCTGCCTTGGACGCCATCTGCTCGTGAGCCGCTTCGACGTCCTCCTTCGTCTTGCCGTCCGCGATGGTCTGCATAGTGTGCACGACCATCCTGGAGGCCTCGGCGGGCTTCAAAAAGCACTTGCAGCAGCCGCCCCAGGATTTCTTCTGCTCGGGTGGCTTGACCTCGGGCTCGGGCTCGGGCTCGGGCTCCTCCGCGGCCTTCTCTAGGGCCTTCTTGGCCTTGTATTCGTCCTTGAGCTTCTTCATGTACGCAGTCGAGGGCTTGGGCTCTTTCGGAACGACAGGACAGCTCATCGGTGTCATCGTCTGCGGCAAAGGGAAAGTTGGTGAGGTGCGGCGGCTGTGGGCGGGGTGCACGGCCGGGGCGACGATGGTGCTAGCGCTCGTCGGCGGCGGCGAGCAAAGGAGGCGCACCTTCCTGTGTCTTGGCGCTCGAGGTTCAGGGGTCGGTCACAGGCGCTGCCAGCGGTTTTTTTATTGCCCTCTTGACCGTTCGAACACGGCACAGGGTAGCAAAATCGCCAGACGCGAGACCGCAGAACAATCCTTGGCAGTCCTTCGAGTGATTGTGAGTGTGTGTCGCTCGAGCGTGCCGTCCTCTCCTGTCCCGCATCCACCCATACCGCGTTGGTGTCCAGTCCGAGCCTGGCTGTTCTTCACCTTCCTACCTACCTACCGGGTGAACCCAACCACGAGATAGAGCTCATGTCTGTGCATGGAGAAAGCTAGAGCCCTCACAACAGTTGCTTGCCCTGTTGCCCACCCCCCCCACTTCCCTGGTATCCCTGCCTATAGATAACGGACGGTGTGGCCCCATATTGAGCAATGAGGAGGCTGTGGAGCTTGTGCGCAGCGGGCGCAGCGCAGCCGGCGCCATCACCTACGGCTGGCTCTCTGCTGGTGACCCGGATCCTACGGGATTCGGCTGGCGGGGCGTGCGTCGCGACGCTGCAGGGCCATGGCGGCGACGTGCTCGCGCTCGCGCTGTCGTCGGACACCGGCACAAACTCTACTCGGGGAGCGACGACAAGTTGATCAAGGCGTGGCGGCTGAATGAGGGCGGCGGCCGCCGGGCATGCGTCCTCATACTCGCACTCGCTCCCAAGAAGCACGAATCTCAAGTTGTGCTCTCATCCTGCGCCTTCCTTCTCCCAGCATGTACTCGCGGCGCTGCGCTAGGCGCTGCGTTTTTTCCCGCGGCTGTGTGGGGGCCGGCCAAAGAAAGAAAGAAAACAGACAGCCCAAACGAGGGATAGGGGAGGAGGACAGGGTCCCCACCTGCACGAGCAGGATTTTGGAAGGACGATCAGGGGGACAGGTGGGGCTCTCCTGCTCCTGACAAGGGACACGACAGGCTCGCAGCGCGGTGCACGGTGGGATCCCAACTCCACTGGCGGTCTCATCTCAGTCTAGCGACCTGCCTCCAGCTTCTCGCTGGCAGTCTCTCACTACCACAGGCACACTGACACAGGGTGGCAGGGGCGGCGGCATGAGTCTCCACATACCATGCGGGCCTCGCTAGAGGTGCGGCGTGCGGCCTGAGGGGGGTGCCTGTGGCCGGCCGGTTTCTTTTATTTCAGGCCGCAGATTCTTTTCGAGTTTGTAAAATTCTTTCGTGCCCATTGTAAAGAAAGAAAGAAAACGGACAACCCAAGGGAGGGATGGGAGGACGGCACGCCGCCACCACACAGGGATTTCGTGCCCAGTGTTGTGCGAGCAAAATTGTTAAATTCTTTTCGAGTTCGAGCGCGAATGGCCGGCGGTACATCAGCATGCCTCCCTGCTCGCGCCCCCTCCTCTTCCCCTGCGCACGATGCATCAGCGCGATCCACGTCTCGCGCCACCGACTCGCGCGTGCTCCCTCCCACCGTCCCATCGCGGCACCATCTCGTCATCATTTCAGCGGCGGGCGTGTCAGCGCCTGTCGTTATTGCCATCACTCGCGCGCTGAAGGGTCGCTCTGCCTTGCCCCGCCAGGCTGCTGGCACTTTGGCTGCCGCGGCGTCCCATGTCCTCTCCTTCGATACAAGCGCTCTCGCAGGAGGTCGTGAACCGCATCGCCGCGGGCGAGGTGATCCACCGGCCCTCCAGCGCGCTCAAGGAGCTGCTCGAGAACTCCCTCGACGCCGGCTCCACCTCGATTTCGGTCACCTCCAAGGCGGGCGGGCTCAAGCTGCTGCAGATCAGCGACAACGGGCACGGCATCCACCGCGCCGACTTCCCGCGCGTATGCGAGCGCTTTGCCACCTCAAAGCTGCGCGAGTACGAGGACCTGTCGCAGATCGAGACCTTCGGCTTCCGCGGCGAGGCGCTCGCCTCGATCTCGCACGTCGCGCACGTCTCCGTCACCTCCATGACAGCCGACGCGGCGTGTGCGCACCGCGCCTCCTTCTCGGACGGGCTCCTCGTGCCGCCGAAGCCCGGCGAGCTCACTGCTCCCTCTCACCTCACCCCTCCACTGCCCACCCACCCACTGCTCGCCACTGCTCACCCCTCCACTGCTCGCCACTGCTCACCCACCCACTGCTCACCACTGCTCACCCCTCCACTGCCCACCTCACCCCTCCAGGCGAGCCCGCCGAGCCGCGTCCCTGCGCCGGCACGCGCGGCACCACGATCGCGGTGGAGGACATGTTTTACAACGTGCCGATGCGGCGCGCCGCGATGAAGGGGGCCGGCGAAGAGTACTCAAGGCTGCTCCAGGTGGTGCAGAGAGAGACAGAGCAGGGGAAGGGGGGGGGGGGGGATGAGGGAGGGAGGGAGGGAGCGAGAGAGAGAGAGAGAGGGAGAGAGAGAGAGAGAGAGAG